AAAACTGAGCCGGGGGCAAAACTTACTAAAATGCTATTGGGAGATCAAAACGGATGGAGCATATTGCCTTAGTGACTAGCAAGTGTCCTATCCTAAAGCAAGATTTGCTCACCATATTACAAATCAAAGAAAGGCTTAATTATTATTTTTGGCCTATTAGACTAGCAAAAATGTAAATATCCTGTGTTACTGAGGGTATAGGGAAAGTGTATGAGAGGGTATATGCTCATACACACTGGAAATGCATATGAAAAGCCTTAAAGAGGTGCATTCCCTCCAACCCAGCGATTTCATTTGTAGTGGGGAGTCACAAATTTACACAATAACTTCCTGGTGTAAAACACAAATGCAGCTCTTTGACCTTCTATAACAGATATTATTTCCTCTAAAGCACCCATCTTGATGGGAAGTGAGAGAAAACTTAATTTAGTCCTCTCCGCTAAATCACTGTTTAATTCCATAAGGTAAACTGTCCATTAGATACTCAGCCTACCCAGGTCATTGCTCAGTCTCTCAGCTATTCTCTCCTCTTCTACTCCACTCCAAGATAGTTTTAGGCATATATGAGATGGTAGGGCTTACTTATCCTTATGGTAGTGTCAATGCAAATAACCTGCAACCAATTTTTGAATCAAAATTGGGGTGGGGCCAGCCCCATGGCTGAGCGGTTAAGTTCGCGTACTCTGCTTTCGTGGCCCAGGGTTTCATGGTTTGGATCCTGGGTGTGCACATGGCACTGCTCATCAAGCCATGCTGAGGCGGTGTCCCACATGCCACAACTGGAAGAACCCACAACTAAAATATACAACTATGTACTGCGGGGATTTGGGGAGAAAAGCAAAAAAAAAAATTGGGGTGACTTTATTATGAGCCAGGTCTGAGGACTATAGCCCAGGGCCTTCCTTCCCCAGGAAGGAAGGGCACCAAAGAAGTGGGGTGTACAGAGTGGTTATGGACCGGCTTGGAACAAAGAGCACACACATCACCTATGACAGGGATAGCCCTTTTACAGCAGTCATGAGATTACTTTGCTGGCACAGCAGGTCAGTGGTCACAATGTGAGCACAGCAGCCCAGTAATTAATCCCTGGTTTCTAGAAAGGGATGTGTATCCTTAAGGAAATGTCGAAATGGGGGGAAGCTACATCCCTATCTTCAAGGGCATCATTCTTGTCTTTGGGACATTGTAAATGTTTAAAGCAGATGTACACTGCATGCTCAAGAGGCCACATCAGGCCTTTCTGGAAAAACAAGGTCAAGCTGAACTAATTTTAAACCAAATGGCTTTCTCATATACTCCAATATATCCTATTGATTTTCATTCATTCATCAGTAGTAGGGAAAAGGCTCCTTGGAGCTCATAGTTGGTACAATCCCATTTTCATTATTAAAAAAAGTTCAAGTGTGTCAAAGAGAAAGAGTCTGGAGAGGTACATAGCAAAGTCTTATCTTTGAGTTATCCCTGGGAGATGGGATTGCACTGGGCCACTACTTTCTTTTATATGCATGTGTTGGTTTAATTTTATAAGAAGCATGCATTCATTTTATAATCAGAAAAAACACTAATGAAGTTTTCGTTTCAGTAAAAAAATGAACCAGCGCAACAGGATGTTAAGTTGGAAGTTTTGATTGAGATGCCAAGATATGATATTTATTGAGCATCAAAGTAAGGTGTGAGCAGACCACAAAGATGCAAATTTTCAAAGGGAATTTTCAAAACCTGGTTACCTGTCTCTTCGTCCTCTCGCCCAGGGAATCCTTCACTCAGAGCAAATAGGAGTCAGAAAAGGGGAAGTTCAGCAGAGATTTTGTAGGGAGGATTTCTTTGGGGAAATCTGAGGGGTCATCTGCTCCCTCCCCTCAAAGGGACTGACCGCTAGGGGGTTAGATGGTTGGCTCCTGCTGCTGGGCACACACAATGGCCTGGTGCTGGCTAGCTCCAGAAGGCTAAGCAACCTCGGCCAAGAGAACAGTGTCTGGGGATGAAGTGCTCTACCCTCTGAGCACAGGTCAAATGAGACAAGAATCCTGGGGACCAGATGAGGAAGGGGCAGAGGCAACATCCACCTGGGGTAGAGGCTAATCAAGAGGGTAGCCGGTGAGGACAAGAGGGTCCCACTGGTTAGAGGCTGGGAGGTGACTGCTATGGCAGAGGCTGTGGGGAGCAGAGGAGCAGGAGGAGCCCACTGAAGGAGAGGGAACTGAGTCAGAAGAACCCAGCAGAGGAGTCTCCCAGGACCCCAGCAAAGCCCCCAGAAGTCAGCTTTAAACATCTGCCAGGGGACCGATGGGTCCCCAGGTGTAGGACCTGTAAAGCCACTTTACCAGGAACTTTCCTATCCCCACTTCAGCCTTAAACATCAGAAACATCAGCAAAACAAGGAGGAAATTAATAAGAAAGCAAAGAAGAGGAACACAGCTCCCTCCCGGGCTGCAGACAGCCCACCTGCCATGGGCCCTAGCTTTGGGGGAACGGGAGAGAAATCTTATCTTTGAATGAAGACTTAAATATTGATTAGTACGTTAGACGGCAATTAAGTCTGCATTTGTGACTTAAAGTGACCCCTGGATTTTTACCTAGGGGTGCCCAGAAAAATTTATGAGTTTGGTGGGATTTTTACACACAGCCAGGGAAAAGACCATCCTAACCCCCATTGGAAGGGATTACAAGGCAGTGGAAGACAAAAATAAATTGGCTTTGGTACCAACAATCCACAAGTCCTGTTGTGTTCAGCATACTGGTTGTACAAGATTCCTTCCTTAAAAACCGCCCTGCCTTGAGGTCACAGATTCCCTGCAAGAGTGCCACCCAGATGTCAGCTAGGAGCCCCTTAGTCCTTGAAGGTCTGTGTATAATGGGGTCAGCCCTAGCCAATTCCACAGCCTGGAAAAGTTCGAGCTTGTCAATAATTTCTGCTCATTCCCAGAGGCTTACTCACCGGAGGTGCCCTTTGCCTCTTATTTCTGTGTCTGTTTTGCTTTTCACTCTTTCCCTGCATCAGCCTGGATGCAGAAATCAGGATCTCTTAGCATTCCCTCCACAGAAGAATCGCTTCGCACAGAGTGCAGCTGGGAGTATTGGAGACTTTACAGAGGGTTTTCCGTCCCCTCAGAGTGGGGCAGTGTGAGATGGTTAGGGAGTTTCTTTAAAGCTCAGTTGAGTTCCACGGCACTGACTGAGTGGCCGCTATTATCCAGGTACCGTGCTAAACACTGGAGACACAGGGCAAATGATACACACTGTCCTCAAGACACTTATAGTCTAGTTGGGGAGAGAATGTAGGAGAATGTAGCAAATGCCTGTGAGAGCCCAGGTTGCCATGGGAGCCCCTGGGGAGGGCACTTAAACAAGCCTGAGGTGAGGATGCGGGGAGTCAAGGACGACTTCCCTCAGTGATAAAATCGCAGACTGGAAAAAGAATCACATAGAAATCCGAGAATGGAAAAATATACTAAGAGATGTTAAAAAGTCAAGGGATGGGTTCAGTAGCAGTTTGGACACACGAGAAGAAAGAATCAATGAATTAGAAAATATAGCAGGGGCTGACTCTGTGGTGCAGCGGTTAAGTGTGCTGGCTCTGCTTCATTGGCCTGGGGTTTGTGGGTTGGGATCCCAGGTGCTGACCTATGCACCACTTATCAAGCCATGCTGTGGTGGCATCCCACATTTATAATAGAGGAAGATGGGCACAGATGTTAGCTCAGGGCCAATACTTCTCAGCAAAAAGAGGAGGATTGGTGGCAGACGTTAGCTCAGGGCTAATCCTCTTCAAAAAAAAAAAGATGGCCAATAAATACATGAAAAGATGTTCGACATCACTAATCATCAGGGAAATGCAAGTTAAAACTGCAGTAAGGTACCACCATATACCTGTTAAAATGGCTATTTGCTAAGACTAAAAATAACAAATGTTGAAGAGGGTGTGGAGAAAAGGGAACCCTCATACACTGCTGGTGGGAATGCAAACTGGTGCAGCCACTATGGAAAACAGAATGGAGATTCCTCAAAAAACTAAAAATAGAACTACCATACAACCCAGCTATCCCACTACTGGGTATCTACCCAAACCACTTGAAATCAACAATCCAAAGTAACATATGAACCCCTATGTTCATTGCAGCACTATTCACAATAGCCAAGACATGGAAGCAACCGAAGTGCCCATTGGCTGATGATTGGATAAAGAAGATGTGGTATATATATTTACAATGGAATACTACTCAGCCACAAAAAAGGCAAAATCATCCCATTTGCAACAACACAGATGGACCTGGAGGGAATTATGATAAGTGAAATAAGCCAGACTGAGAAAGACAAACACCAGATGATTTCACTCATATGTGGAATATGAAAAAACACATGGACAAAGAAAAGTTCAGTGGTTACCAGGGGAAGGGGGTGGGGGATGGGCACAGGTGGTGAAGGGGAGCATTTATGTGGTGACAGACAAGAAATAACGTACACCTGAAATTTCACAATGATGTAAACTATTATGAACTCAAAAAAAAAAAAAGAAAATATGGCAGAGGAAACCATCTAGAATGAAGTAAAGAGAGACAAGATGGAAAATACAAAAGCAAGGGTAATAGACATGGAGAATACAGTGAGAAGATCTTACTTATAGCTACTTGGAGTCCCAGGAGGAGAGGAGAGAATGAGCAGAGATAATATTTGAAGAGATAATAACAGAATTTTCCAGAACTGATGAAAGACTTCAAGCTCAGAATCAAGATGAACAACAAATCCCAAGCAAAATTAATTTAAGGAAACCTATTCTTGGCACCTTAAAATAAATCTGCAAAAGAGAAAAAGTATTAAAGATAAGGAGGGGGGGAGAAATTATTTTCAAAGGAGCAACAGTCAGACAGATAGCCGACTTCTCAACAGCAACAATGGAAGCCAGAGAACAGTGTGATATCTTCAAAGAGCTAAAAGAAAATTGCTAGTCTAACATTCTATATTCACCTAAAATAACCTTCAAGAATAAGCATGAGAAGACCTTTTCAGACAAAAACTGAGTGATTTATTCACTGGCAAAAACACTGTAATAGTTTTCTATTTCTGCATAACAAATTACTAAAACTTAGCAGCTTAAAAAAACACGCATTTTTTGCCTCACAGTTCCGTAGATCAGAAGTCCAGGTGGGGATTAACTAGGTTCTCTGCTCAGACGCTCACAAGGTGAAATCAAGGTGCTGGCCAGGGCTGGGGTCTCCTCTAAGGCTCAAGGTCCTCTTCCCAAGATCATGTGGTTGAAAACGAGGTCTAAAAAATGTCTAAGATTTGAAATCACACAAAGCATATTCTCTTATACACTGCAGTTACACCCGAAAAATAAAACACTTTAAAACACTCCATATCTATTTGGAAATTAAGAAACACTTTTAAATAACACATAGGTCAAATAAGGTATCACAAAGGAAGTTAGAAAATATTTTGAACTGAATGTTAACAAAATTTCTATGTATCAGTTCTCATGGGATACAGCTGACACATGGAAATTTATAGACTTAAATGTATATATTAGAAAATAAGGGCCAGCCCCAGTAGCCTAGTGGTTAAGTTCAGTACACTCCACTTTGGCGGCCCGGGTTTGGTTCCCAGGCACAGACCTACACCACTGTTAGTGGCCATAGTCCGCTGGCAGTCCACATACTAAAAAATAGAGGAAGACTGACATGGATGTTAGCTCAGGGCGAATCTTCCTCAGCAAAAAAAAAAAAAAAAAAAAAAAAGGAAAGAAAGAAAGAAAAAGAAAATAAGAAAGGTTAAAAATTAATGAGCTAAGATTCTATCTCAAAAAGTTAGAGAAATAAGATATGGAATACTATATTATTATTCACAAAGATTCACTGCCCATCTCTAGGCACTGGCATCAGGCTTAGCTGTATTTCTTGCTCTGGTCAATGGAATGTGTACAGAAGTGTGAGGTGTCACATATAGGCTGAAGTTTTAAGAGCCAGCAAACATATGGCTCACCATACTCTTTTCCCTCTGCCATAATGATCGTCAATGTTCTAGACAGTGGCTGTTCTGCCAGCTTGAGCCCCAGAGTGAAGACACTGTGGAGAAGAACCCAGCCAACCTGAGTGAGAAATAAACTATGTTGTTGAAAGCCCTGAGATTTTGGGGGGACCATTTGTTACTGCAGCATAATCTGGCCTATCCTGTTATACAAGTACAAAAGAAACCCAAATACAGTAAAATCATGAAATAATAAAGATAATAGCAAAAATCAATGACATAGAAAATAACATGCCATAGAGAGGATCAATAAAACCAAAAGTTGGTTTTTTCAAAGAAGAAAAGTTGGCTCTTTGAAAAGAGCAATTATACAATTTGAAAAAATGTATAAATCCTTGCCAACTGTCAAGAAAAATAAAAAACAGAATGCACAAATAATCAATGGCAGGAACGAAAAAGCAGATGTCACTATAAATTCTATAAACATTAAAAAGACAATAAGAGAATTTTATGAATCACTTCACACTTAAATTGTGAAAAGTTAGATGAAGCAAATATATACCCAGGAAAATATAACCTGCTAAAAATTGATCAAAGAAGAAATAGAAATTTGAAGTCCTATAATTTTTAAATAAATTGAATCAGTATTTAAAAACCTTCCCATAAATAGCTAAGGGAAAATAACGCCTACCACAAACAAACTGTCTGGAGAACAGAAAGAAGATGGTCATACCTTCCAACTCATTTATAAGGCTAGCATAACTTTTGATACCAAAGCCAATGAAGATAGTTCCAGAAGCAAATATTTAGCCAAATCTCACTCAAGAACATGGATACAAAAATTCTGAATAAAATATCGTATTAGCAAATCAATTCAAGCAATATATAGAGAGGAAAATACATTATGACCGATGTGGGAAATAGAATAATGGCCCCCAAAGATGTTCACATCCTAATCCTCAAAACCTACGAATATGTCATCTTACACGGCAAAAAGGACTTAGTAGAGGTGATTAAATTAAGGACCATGAGATGGGGAGATTATCTTGGATTATCCTTGTGGGTCCAGTGTAATCACAAGAGTCCTTATAAGAGGGAGGCCGGAGAGTCGGGGTCAGAGAGAAGATGTGACCATGGAAGCAGAGATTGGAGTGAGAGCTATGAAGACGGAGGAAGGGGCCATCAGGCGAGGAATGCAGCAGCCTCTAGAAGCAGCGAAAGGCAAGGAAATGGATTTTCCCCTAGTGCCTCCAGGAGCAATGCAGCTCTGCCAATACCTGGATTTAGCTCACAAGACCCACGTTAGACTCCCAGCCTCAAGAACTGTAAGGTCATAAATCTGCGCTGGTTTAAGCCGCTGTGTATTTGGTAATTTGTTACAGAAGCAATAGGAAAATAATACGACTAAACCGATCTTATTCTAGAAACGCAAGGATGGTTAATATTTGAGAATCAAAGTAATTCACCATATTAATAAATTTGAAGGAGAAAAATTACATGACCAACGCAATAAATGTAAAAAAGTGTTTGAAAAATTCAATTTCAATCATAATTAAAAAAAAAAAATCTCTTAACAAACTCGGAATAGAAGGAACTTCCTAAATGTGATAAAGGATATCAGAAAGCAATGGAAAAGTAGGACAAAAGCCAGCAGTTACCTGTAGGAGGGAGAAGGCTGTGTTTGGGAAGGGATGTACTAGGGGCTTCTGGATGCCAGTAAAGCCCTATTTCTTGACTCTTAATTTGTGGTTAACAAGAATTTGCCTCATAATAATTATGTTTTATGCACTTTCCTTTAATTATCTTATTTTTCACACACACAAAAATGTGTTAAAAAGATAGAAAAGAAAGAAAAAAATTTTGAAAAGTTAGTAGACCACAGCTAGAGTTTAAGGCCTAACACTGCTATAATCACTGAAGGGCAGACACTCAGGTTGGCCTTGGGAGGGTGGAGCTTAAAACCAGACCAGCATGGGGTGAGCTGAAAAGGCTCTGAGCTCTGGTGGGTTGGGCTGACTTCCCTCCCACCAGGATGGCAGTATTGGCAGAGAACCAGTACTGGCCAAGGCTGGGAGCAAGCGTGGGCTCCCACTCTTGGAAGGGAACCATTGTAACAGTCCTGCAAGATGACACACAAGCCACCAAGGAGAAGCAGGAGTCACTTGAGGCCCCAGGGAACAGAAGGGACGGGGACAGGGGAGGAAGGTCAGCGCATGGAGGGAGGTGCTGCCATCTCAATGATGAAGTGGGTCTTTGGGACAGGAGACAGCCCAGAGCTCTCACCTCCCGGGACTGGGGAAACCTTAACATTCTAAGATTCTAAAATTAACACAACAAATAACTACTGAGTCTTACAGTGCACAAGCACAAGGATTTCATGGCTTTGCAGCTTGCCCTTGTAGGGCCTTATCCCTTGCCTGATGATTAGCTCCAGTTTTCCTGCAGCAGTCAAAGGGAAAGACTGACCACACAGGCAGCCAGTCCACAGCAGTGATATTTAAGTAAGGCATAAGACACCATGGGCCAGAAATGCTATGAGCCAATAATCATGGTGATAAGTCAAAGGTGATTTCCGAATGTCAGGATTGTGGGCCATGTGACTACAGAAGATTGAGGAGGCAGTTGGTCATTCTGCTCCACATCACACACCCTGATGACCTGCACGGATGAAAGGACTATGAAGCAAAGGTTTAATTCAGATTCCAATTTAGGATTTTTAGGGTTCCTGTTGGGAACACAGGGCTCTTGGGCACTCCAAAAGGCAAATACAACAGTAGGACAGAAGAGGCTGGAGTAGAAGATGTCTCCGCCTCTGGATGGCCTGTCTATTCACGGCCACTGTGACAGCCAGTGTAAATAAGAGTGATCTGATATGGGCGAGGGGATGTGGTAAGAGTCATACACCACACATCTTGGAGTCAGGACACAGGAAGAACCAAAACTTTCTATACCCAAACAACTTACTCTTGATGTTGAGTTGACTTCACTATTGCAGGAAACTCTTGCCTGGGGTGATAAAAGTTGTAACTAACTATTGTCTTTTGCAGAAATTTCATGCAGAAACCATTTAAATGAACTTTGCAACTTTTCAACAGATTGCGTCAACGACTCTTTCCTGAGTCTTTGAAACTCTTGCCCTGTCCCCACCTTCAGCTATCGGGTCGTGATTCTTGCCCAGTCCTAATTAAGCCCCCTCACTGGAAGAGCTACCTTGAAACAGATCCCAACACTTCTTAAATGTCCCGACTTCGCCTCCCCATTCTAGATGCTACTACGGCTCTGCAGAGCAGTATTCTCTCTTCCTGCAGTGAGAACAAACTCAGCTTTGCATCATCACAAAGCTGTTTTGATGATATTTTCAGGGAGCCAGCATTCGATTACTGAGGAACACTGAGATCCAAACAAGACTCCTCACCACTCTGGCGCAAGACTCCTGACTCACACACAGTGTTCTCCTCTGAGGCCCTCGAGCCCATCCGGGGTCTCTCAGACCACACCACTGAGGGATGTAGGCTTGCCTTGGGCCTGGGTTCAAATTCCTTTTTTTGATTCTTCTTTTTATTGACCTCCCAAACACTGAGTCTATTTTGTCTCCTAGCAATAAGAAACACTCTTTAGGAATCCTTTGAAGATCTCACCATATTTGAAAGTCTTTTCTCCTCGGTGGATATCTGCCTTATTACTAACAAGGCTACTACTCTTCTATGTCTGTCCTGGTCATTTATTGTTGTGCATCTACAAGAGGAAAGTTTATAGTGAAGAGGACAAGTGTAGGTCCAATAAGTCTGTCCCTAAGCCGGTCCAGGGACAAATTCTGTCTTGGGCCACTGATAGACACCTTATGAGAACTTTCCTCAAACTTACTTTGTCTGTGAGAGTTGGGTTCAGCAGATCTCTGCACACCCTCCATCTTCTGGGAACTGTAAATTTATCAGAGTTGTGGTGGGATAAGGTCTAGCTGTGAGGCTGGGGGGGCCCTGGGCCACAGGATGCACAAGCATCTTTCGACTGACCATACCCAGTCTCTCATGGGTTCTCTCATGGTATCAATCTCAGTGCATGCCTTCCTTGGGCCTGATTTCTGCTTCTTACGTGTGTTTATGCGATAGCCCAAATTTGTGCACTTATCTTTCTAAATAGCATCATTTCACCAAGGAGAATTTAGAATGACAGTGACCACTACAAGGAACTTTTGATATGAACAAAGTTACTTACTTGAGAAGTGCCTTAGAATGAAAAGGAAACACAATTCCAAACATCCAATGGTCTTCATTTTTTTATTAGCATGAGGAAGCATCCAAAAGAAATTTGATTCCAAAATTACTTCCTTAACAGATTCTTCGGCCAAAGCAAAGGGAAACTGTGAACAACTTAAAACTATCTGTCTTTAGATCTCCCCAAATCACCATCTAACCTACTCTCCTCATCTCCCATCCTACATTCCTCCATCTCCTGCCACCCTGTCTCTCCCTCTGACCCACTGCCTCTCCCCCCTGGCCAATCAGACACCCCCAAGCTCACTTACTTCCTTAAGGTAAACCTCCTTCAGCACACAGAAGACCTCTTATGGTGGATTTTAAGCTCTGGTTTCATTCTCAGCTGAAAGTCACTATCAAAGATTCTCCAAGACCTAGACAAGACAGAGAGAACATTGCCGAGGAATTTAGAATCGTGTGGGAGACATATAATCCAGAGTGGCCAGATGTATACCCATCAGTTCATGTGTCAGTAGGAACATCAGATGCGAAAATTTCAGTGAAAAAGTCAGAATAGGAAAACCCTCCATGGTGACACACAAGATCTTGAATTGCACAAGAAAGCACAGAGGTTTAGAGAAGCTGTAGATGCTGGCCAGGGTCTTTTGGAGGCTAACCTCTGTCTTTCCTGTGAAAATAATTCGTGGTCTGATTCAGTTCTTCAGGCCAAAAAAGAAGTCTGATGGAGACTTCAGGGATAGGTTCTTTAACACCCAGCGCCAAGGACAGCAAGCAGGAGTGGATCCTGAAGCAGATGTGACTCTGGCTCTCTCTTGCCTTTCGTGAATGGCCTTAAACCAGAAACAGGGAATTTAACAGGCAAGCAAAAAGTAGAGTGGGAAATAGCCCCATGGCCAGACCTCCAAAACACTGAAAGAGGTCCGGAACTAAGAAACTAAAGGAAAATGAAAAATAGAAGTTATCAATGAAGGTGTTCAATTTCTCATTCTACTCTTAAATGCACAAGGAAACATTTCTCTAAAAATTAAATGACAACCTTACAAAATTTTGATTGATATGGACAAATAACATCGATCTTATACCCAGGCATTATTATACAAGCTTTGGAGTCAACAAACTACTCTGGGTAGTCTGGAGTCAAATGAGACTCCGTGTCACGCATCTACCTAACGATCCTCAGCACACCTTCCCCAGGCCCAGCCCGTAACTGTCCGCCTGCACCCTTTAGCCGAGGAATGTTCTTTTCTCCTTTGTGACACTACACTCATTAACCTACCAGCGAGGGACTTACTGTGTGAACGGAATTGCCACTTTAAAGGCTCTCCTGACAGTCTCTTCCTTCCAGTCCCCGAGGATCTCTCTATTCATAATGAGGTCCTGGCTAATTTGGATATTGATTTCCCAGTACTTTTGTGTGTAAATTGAAGCTCTCTTGTGGGCAAACAATTCTAAACTCATCAACGTTCAAACTGACCCAACTAAACCTGTACCCAAATTTGCACAATAGCCTCAACAACAACGCACTAAAGAAGGAATAAAACTAATAAGCCAAAGCTTTAAAGAGAAAAAAGTCTTCATACCTTGTCCCCTTCCTTGTAACACTCCTATCTTCCTAGTCAAAAAGACAGTGGGCAGGACTATAGATTCGCTTAGGACCCCGGAGCCGTGAATAAATCCTCTGCACTTCCCTTTAGAACCACACTCAAATACTATTTTATCTTCAAGGCCTCAGGAGCCTGACTACATGTTTGCAATTATAGATCTATGTTGTGCTTTCTTTGGCATCTCTTTAAATCAAAAGTCAATGCCTGTTTGTTTACTCCAGGGAAAATCAACAACATCCCTGGCCCACTATGCCTCAGTTTACTGAGCTGCCCTGCTACCTTTCACAGGTCCTCAACCAGGACCTCGAGCGCTTTAAACTGCCCTGTGATTCTATTCTCATCCAACATGTGGACAATCTTTTGTGTTGCAAAGACGAAGTGAGTTCTAAGACTGATTCATCTGTCTGCTTACTCTTACAGCTCAGAGGGGGCATACAGGTTACATAGAGAAGTTAACAATTTGTCAGAGGAAAGTGCACGACCCAAGACCAGACTGATCTCATGCAGGTAAGTCCCTTACTCCAGACACCCAGCTGTGCAAAAGGTCCCTGGACGATAACTGAGACAATGATGAGGATTCCTGGGTCTCACTGGCCACGGCAGGCAGTGCGTTCCCAACTTTCTGAAATTCCCGTGCCATCACGTGACTTACCCTAGTCCATGATAACCAAAGCTTTTCTCTGGGAGCCCAAACATGAACAGACTTTTTTTTTTGAGGAAGATTAGCCCTGAGCTAACTGCTGCCAATCCTCCTCTTTTTGCTGAGGAAGACTGGCCCTGAGCTAACATCCATGCCCATCTTCCTCTACTTTATATATGGGACACCTGCCACAGCATGGCTTGCCGAGCTGTGCCATGTCCGTACCCGGGATCTGAACCAGCGAACCCCGGGCCGCCGAAGCGGAACATGCGCACTTAACCCGCTGTACCACTGGGCAAGTCCCTGAACAGACTTTTTTTTCCTTTTTCTCCCCAAAACCTCCAGTACATAGTTGTATATTCTTCGTTGTGGGTCTTTCTAGTTGTGGCATGTGGGACGCTGCCTCAGCGTGGTTTGATGAGCAGTGCCATGTCCGCACCCAGGATTCGAACCAACGAAACACTGGGCCACCTGCAGCAGAGCGCGCGAACTTAACCACTCGGCCACGGGGCCAGCCCCTGAACAGACTTTTTGTGAGTTCAAATGAGCTCTTCAATACCCTCCCATTCTGGGCCTAACTAAATATCATACACCTTTCACCTATACATATATGAGAGATCTCACCAAGCCCTTAACTTCATGAGAACCAAGACCAACATCTTAACACAGCCTCTCTCAGGATCCGGTGGCAAGAGCCTCCCCACCTTGTCCGGGGCAGCAGCTGAACTCGTGGAGTCCTCTGTCGGCTTGGTTTCAAGGTCCCCTTTAAACCAGATGGTCCCTCATGCTGTACCATCTTTGTTGCTCCTTGAAGATACACATTTCTCAGCAAGTTGATTTACCTCCCATGAAGGTCATTACTTCCTCTGAGATGCTCCTCAGACTGTGAAGGCAGTGCCCTCCCTCACTCTGGTAAGCATTGAACTCTGTTTCACCTGATCAAGCTATTTTGGTAGCACTTTTTTTGCGTGTGTGAGGAAGATTGGCCCTGAGCTAACATCCATTGCCAATCTTCCTCTTTTTGCTTGTGGAAGATTGTTGCTGAGCTAACATCTGTGCCAACCTTCTTCCATTTTATGTGGGATGCTGCCACAGTGTGGCTTGAGAAGCAGTGCTAAGTCTGCTCCCACGATCTGAACCTGCAAACCCTGGCCCCAAAGTGGAACATGTGAACTTAACCACTACACCACTGGGCCGGCCCCTTGGTAGGACTTTTGAGCTGGCAAATGACAGCTGTCTTTATCAGAATTCATCCTAAACTCTCATCTGAGAGATTTCAGATTATTAAAAAATGAAAACTACCACCACACTTCCTATATGTCTTTTGTTTTGGCAAATATCACTGATACAATCATGGTTGTTCTTCATTCTTGTTCTCGCAGTCTCTCACACCCCTGAAAAATGCTGCTCACTGGCGGCTGGGTTCCCGTCTCTGCCGGAAAAGAGCCATGAAGGGGTCTGGTACATGTTCCGCAGTGTCCAGGAGAAGCTCCTTACAGTTTGAACATAATAGTCTGTTACCCCCTCCCCCCCACCCATGCCCACAGAAATATTGGTGCACCCCTCAAAAAAACAAGCAGCAATTCCCTTTGCTTAGTTCCCTGGAGTCCTGCAACCTGGGGGCAGGGTTGGCAAAGGACTGGGGCAAAAAGAGGGAGGAGGGCAGGATGGCCCCCCTCTTATCAACACTGCTTTTCTTTGCCTGCCCCAGGGGTGACTCTGGGGAATGCCAGATCTGGGGCAAATCACACCAAGTTCTCAGGCCACCTTCGCTGAAAGGACAAGCATGGCTCTCTCCAAGTCAAATCCGGTTCTGGTGACCAGCAAGGGCAGCCAAAGGGTAACCCAAAGCCAGCTAGAGGAGTTGACAGGGGTAGGCCAGAGGAACCTGTGCAAACTGAGTAAATTGGCTCTCAATTCCAACTGCCAGAACTGCCTCAATTTTTCTTCACCCATCTCCTGGCCTCTGGGAGTTCAGAAGAGACCTCAGGTGCTCAGAGCAGCACCCAAGGTCAGGAAATCCTGTCCCCCGCTCCTCCCCCTCAGCAAGGACTGGAGCTGCATTTGTAACCTGGACAGGAGGGTATCCATGGGGCAGCTGGGGGTGAGGGGTGCCAGGAAGACTGCCTTCACCAGATAACCCCTTGAGGCTGCAGAGGACTAAGCACCAGGAGCCTGGGCTCCGCTTGACAAAAACCTTCCCACGGTTACAGATGTCCAGAAGCACAAAGGAGTGGGGCTCCTGACACTGAAAGTGGTCAAGGGCACTCTAAGGTCACGTGTCAGGCAGTGGCGGAGACCTCCACGTTGGGAAGGAACGCGGACACCTTCTAACTCTCAGGAGTCTATACTTAAAAGCTTGCCCTGACTCTCCTGTCTTCTGGAGTCTTCCGTCTGTGTCATGCAATATATTTCAAATACAGAGGGTTTTTTTGCTTTCTGGCCTGACAGTGATTTCTTGCGTGATAGCCTCAATTCCCACACCGGCCTGTGAGCACTGTCGCCCCGGAGGCGGGGCCACCATAAACTGTCTCCAGCAGGCGGTGTTCGTCTCCAGCAGGGGGTGTTCGTCCCTCCGCTCCTTCCTCCGGGCCGCCCGGTAATTCTTTGAACTTCTTAGCACCCCACGCGCCCGGCTCAGCCCTGCCGAGAGCTCGGGGCAGCTTGATCACAGTCTTTAGACATCAGAATTAAGAAAGAAAGAAACACCAAGTTGGACAAACAGCTTAAACCCTTTCAGAAATCCAGGGCAACGGGATTCCGCAAAGGACAGGCCAGCCAGTTAGCATGGGGGGGAGTCAGGCTGGAAAGAGGAACTCCGCTGTGAAGACAGTAAATAAGAAGTCTCCGAGGGGAGGCGTCCCGGGAGGCGAGGGCCCCGGCACCGGCCTGTTTTCCCCCGAGTCCCCGCGGGGCGCGCCAGGCCCGCGTGTCCCGGCAGGGCAGGGCAGGGCAGGGCCGGAGCGGGCGGCGGCCGATGGCTCCGGGGGAGGCTCGCTGTCGGAGTTGGGGGCAACTGGCCGGCCGGCCTCTGCCTGGATTTGTGACGTGCCGGGGGCAGCAGCGGTGACGGGGCCACCACACAAAGCCGGCCCGTCTGGGCACGGCTCTCCCAGGCCGAGAGCCCCCATGGGATGGGGAGGGGCCGGGGAGCGAGGTGCCCCCGGGCGCCCGGGCTCCGCGCAGCATTAAAGTGAGCGTCGAGGCGGCGGCGGGGGCCGCGGGGGGCTGGCGCCGGGGCGGCCGCGAGCGCCCACCGCGCGCCTGGCTGCTGTGGCCGCGCTGGCCGCCCGCGCGCCCGGCTCGCCGAGGCCGCGCCACGCCCCCGCGGGGGTGGAGCGGCTGCCCGGGGCGGGTCCGCAGCTGGCGGCGCCGGGGCCCGGGCGGGGGCTGTGGCAGCAGCTGCAGCGGCGGCGGCGGCGGCAGCGCCTAGAGCTGCTGCGGCAGAGGCGGAGGCTGCTCCGGGACGCGGCCGCGCCGCGCAACCAGAGCCCCAGCCCGGAGGCGCCGGGCGGTGCGCTGGGTGCTGCTGCTGCCGCCCGCCCGCCGCCGCCTGGGCCCCCGCTGCCCCCCGGGCCCCGGCCGCCGCCCGCGCCCCCGTCGACCCCGCCCGCGAGTGTGCCCCAGCCCGGACGCCGCCCCCGGCCAGGTCTCCACTTCTCGGCCGCACCTCCCATGACAGCGCCCGCTCGAAGATGGCTGCGAAGGGCGCGCACGGCTCCCACCTGAAGATGGAGAGCGAGCTGGAGCGCTGCCGCGCCGAGGGCCACTGGGACCGCATGCCCGAGCTGGTGCGGCAGATGCAGACGCTGGTCGTGCCCGGCGGCGGAGGCGGCCGGCGAGCCAGCCCGAGCGCCGCGTTCACCTCTCTGGACACCGGTAAGTGAGGGAAGGGGATGGTTCCTAAGGACGGAGCGCGCGAAACGCGCCGCCTCCTCCAGGAAGCGCGCCCCGACTGCCCCCCGTCGGCGACGGCCGCGTTCGGTATTACCCTTCCTGTAGTGCTGGTGTTAGGAGTTACCAGGGTGGTTAGGAAGGTTCTTCTGCCCCAGTAGAAAAGTCACATGCAGGTTGGGTGCTTTGGGAGAGAGAGAGAAACGGTTTTTGCTGTCTGCCCTTTAGGATCTTGTGGGCAACTGTGTCTGCTGTGAAATGGTGCTATCCGCACGTATCAGATCAAAGCATGGGCTGGACTCTTGCGCCGCCCCGCCACCAGCACCCCGGCCCTAAACTCCATAGGTGAAGGCTGTATCTGTCCCTCCTTGCCCTCCCTCTCTTTCCCCAAGTCAAATTGACAACGGAGCCCTGTCCACAGCAGACATGGTTGTGGGGGTTGACGGGCGCCGGCGAGGGTGGTGGAGAAGTGGGAACGAGGCCTAATGAGCCTCAGTTTTCTCATCTGTCGTCGGACTCGGGACCCATCCGGCCCTGGCAGTCGGTGGCTTTAGCAGTAGGGCTGGTTTGGCTGGGCTGGGCTCTCGTGCTGGGGTAGGAAAGCACCCAGATATGGCAGTGGGGAACACCCCACCCCAGTCTCCAACCTCAAATCCTGTCTCTCGAGCCTTCATCTCAGCCTGGAGAGGCCTCCCTGAGCCCCCTCTTTCAAGCCACTTCAGAGCCCTGTGGAAAGAGGCAGACAGTGAATAAATACAGATAGAAAGAATTTCAAAGACCGCCCAGCCTGCGAAGACTCTGCAGGGCAGGCGGGATGATAATAGTGATAGTGATAGCTGACACTTATCTAGCACTCATTGTGTGCCAGACTCTGTTCTAAGCATTTTAAGCAACTCATTGATTCCTCCCAACAACCCCTGCAGGCAGGTACTCTTGTCTGCCCCACTTAGAGATAAGGAAACTGAGGCGCAGAGACATAACTTGATCATCCAGCCAATAAGTGATGGAACCAGGATTTAAACCCAGGTTTCTGAGTTCATCCTTTTAACCACTTGCATTCTTACCTCTCAAAGATGTGTAGCACAAAATGCCAGCTTGAATTGTTGCCAAAATGGATGGGGAGGCAAGGAGGTGATCAGAGGGCAATTGAGAAGGTTTCGGGAAGCAGCCGAACGTGTCCTGGCTTCTGACTGGTGTTGGGAAGGGCAGAGCGTGTTTGCCCAATGAGGAGGAAGGATGGAAGGATACCCAGGGGGCTGGCCAGGTGTTGGGGACTGACAGTCCGGTTGAAGCTTTGAGGTAGGTCTGAGTGTGGTGGTGAGGGGCAGTGATCAGAGCCAAAGGTGCATGTGTGGGAGAAGCTGGGGAGAGCCCCTCTTCCAGGACAAAATTACAGGTTCCCCTCTGTTCCCTGCCTGGGTGGGTTGATGTGGCGGGGTGGGACTGGTGAGTGTGAGAAAGGAAACTGACCCCCACAGAGGGCACTGGGACCTGGGCGAGGTATGGGAATCTGAGTAACATTAGCACCACTGAGAATCACTCCGAGCCCAAGATAGGAACCAGGGCCTCCTCAAGTCTGTACAGGACGGTATTTCCTAAGCTGTTCTTTAGAGGTCTCAAGGAAGTTGAGTAATTAATTAATTGGTATCCCAGGAAGAAAAGGTTTAGGGAGCCAAAAAAGTTAAGAAATTGAACTTAATGGATTCAGTATGGTTAAACAGGCTTTTTAAAAAACTGCAGGACTTCTCAGAGCCTTTAATATGCTCACCTGCCTGTGATGTACAAACCAAGGTTAGAATAAAAATACTACATTTCTCAAACTTACTTTGATCATATTCTACGAAGCGCTATTGGGAAGCACTGGTATGGCATAGTTTATAAATGGTATGGTATAGTTATAAAGTGCTTTCTCAGTTTTATTTTGATTCTTGTAAACAAGCCTGTGAGGAGGGCAGGAATTATTGTCCCCATTTTAGACATAGGGACACCAAGGCCCAAAGAGGTCATGTAATATGTATGTGTCAGAGCCTGTACCCAGGCCTGAGTCCCTGTCACCAAATGACAGAAGGGGGTCCTGCAGCCTGGCTTGGCTTTGCTATGGGAACTGACCAGCACTAGGAAGGAGATGGAGGGACAGTGGAGTCTCTCCTGCCGACTTTTGGGTTTGGTTCTATGAGCAGTTTTTCTCCCACTGTTCAATCCGGATGAACTATCCCAAAACGCACGCGTATGCACACACGCACATGAGGAAGGAAAGCAAATGACCCCAAAGCCCGTGCATAGGGCGTTTTTTGGATTGTCGGCTATTTTGGTTCTCTCTCCACGCGGTTCCCGGATCACTCGAGGGATTGAGAGCCTGTTTTTTGGGTGGGTGTCGGTGCTGACCCCCTGCAGCCCAGGAGCAAGATTCTCCAAGTCCCACCTGGCCTGTTAGAAGAGACTCTTAGAGTCAGTGACTGGAAACTTCAACAGTACCAGAATTTGGGAGAGAGGAGGAAGGTCCTGAGGGAGGGAGCTGAATCCCAGTGGAGCCCTATTTTACACACCGAGGCCTTGCTGTGTCTGTGGGGTTTGTAGAAACTGAAAATAGCTCCCAGACCATTGATTTCAAGATAGGGAGTAGGAGGGGAGGACCCAGCTGTGGGGGGCCTCTTACTGGTCGGTGGGCGATAAGGATCAGGAGATGCTCTCGCAGAAGGGGCCTCTACCCCCTTTTCCTGTCTGGGGAGGCTGCTCCCCAGCCACCACCCACCCAGGGGGAAGGTGCTTGCTACTCTTTGTACATTTTCTTTCAAACTCACATCCGGTTTAGATTTGGTCAAAATGGAGCAGGGGAACCCCGGAGTGCTGCTGGCTGAGATGGGGTTTGTTTGTGTAAAAACAAAGAGCCCATCCAAGGGGTTAAAAAAAAAAAGCAGAAAGAAAACTTTATTATGAAAAATTTGGAAAACATCAAAGAAGTAGAGAGAAGAATGAATCCCAAGTATCAACCAGCATGAGTGATTGTGAACTCACGAACAATCTTGTGTGAGCTACACCCGGACCTGTTTCTGCCCCGCACTGCAGTATTTCAGTATGTCTTTATTAATAAGAACTCTTGAAAAATATATAACTACCATCCCATTATCACAGCCCCCCCCAAAGTCTAATGACTAAATTTTACAGTTTGTTTGTTAGATTCAGGATCCAAATGCAGCCACACCTTGCATTTGGTTAATAGGTTGGGTCTTTTATTTTCCTCTCCAACGTTTTATTATGGAAATTTCAAACATGCGGCAAAGCCGAAAGAATTTTGCGGGAAACTCATCAACAAGATTCTGATATTCTTTTACTGTATTGCTTTATCATGTGTCTGCCCTGTCTCCATCCATCTTGAGGCTCCCCTAATCTGTACTCACCCCCCATCTTTTGTTTTTTAGCCAAATGATTTTTTTGTTTGTTTCGAACGGGAGATGGTTCTGAGCATTTCTTCAGTTAACGTTAGCGGGAGAGTGTTTGAGGCAGGTGGCTCTCGCTGTGGGTGGGAGGTCCCAGCCCTCTGCAGACCTGTGTGGTGAGCAGCTGCAGGGACCACTGTGTCCCCATCTGACCCAGTGGGGAAGGGCTTGCTCTGAGCTCTGGGCGCAGCTGGCTGGACCCAGGTTTCCTGACTGTGAATTGGCGGGTTGTGGAGAGGGGAGCTCTGCCCTGTAAATGTGGGTTCTGAGGGGGAGGCAAGTGTCCTTGAAGTGGGTCCCTGTGACCTGGAGCCCTGAGAGAAGCCTGGAGAGGGGTGGGGCCTCTGCCAAGGGAAGGGGGCTGGGCTGGGCTGCCAGAATCAGCACCCAGCTCCCAGAGTCTGTTTCACTGTGTCAGGAACATCTTCCTAATGCCCCTGGGAGGGGAGACGCAGAAACATTTTACCCAAACTGGGATAAGAGTAGGTTTCAGACGAGAGGATAAAAAGCAATTTGTTTTACCTTTGGAGAAGGACAGGAAAGCCTTATCTGGATTCCTATTTAACAACTGACAATCTAGCACTTGGAATTCCAAAACATCCTTCAGTTCCACAGACGGGCCAGATGAGATTAGTGGGATGGAAAGAAAAGGGGAAGGAAGAGGAAGAGTGGAGCAGGGAGGAGAGTTGGTCAAGGAAGAAAAGAAGGTAAGTTCCCAATGCCTGCTCAGTGTCTGCCTAACAAAAAGCGGAGACTGAGTGGGGAGTGCAGAGGGAGAGGGACCCGAAGTGTTAGTGTACAAAATGGTCTAAAACTCCCTGAGAACAGTTCTTATCTCTGTCCTTAGAATTACGTACTCTTAGCATGTAACCTACTGTTTACAGCTCTTAGATGGATCGTTATTTCTAAACTACCAGAAGCTCTGCTCTGCATGGGCTGCAAGGGAGACAGACTATTCTTTGGCTGTGTTATGTTATTGTTATGGGCTGTTACCATAACAACATTGCTTATCTTAATTTTCATCTATAAAATGAGAATAACAGCTACATTTTAGGACTATGCAGATAAAATGATACTATATAATAAAGTACCTGGCACTCAGTAAGCCCTCAGCAAATTTTAGTCCCCCTTTTGCATTAAAAGGCACTCTTGTGGTTTAGAGCAGTGCTTCTGAAAAGATCTGTGGTGAAGGATCGGTTTTATTTTAAATTCCCAATCTGTTACGCTCTGATACTTCCATAAAATACATAAACTGTTACCCCCTGAATTTTTATTATTCCATCCAACAGATTCGTAATTATCCTGTCACATTATTATCCACGTTTCTGAACGTGTACTCTAAGTTTCTCCACTCATCTCCGGGGACTGGGTCACAAACGCTCGCAGGCCGCCCCCAGGCCGCCCCCCGCCCCCGCTCCCCCCTACGGAGCACACTGTGAACGCGCACGTTTCGAGGACACTCCCATGATTTTGAGGGGCGTGCGCACCCCGGGGAGTATTTCAAGACTGAGGGTTGCCCCGGAAGGAAGCTGGTTTCTCTTGGCCTGAAAGGAATGGAGCCAACGAGCTGTGGGGAGCTCTGGGCGGGGCGGTTGGGTGGCGGAGGCGGGGCCTGGTAGCCCAGTGGCTTTGCCGCGAACCCCGCGCGCAGGTGCTCCCCACGGCCGAGGGCGGGGACCAGCCCGGGAGGCGGAGCCTGGGGAGGGGCGGTTCCCTTGGAAGTCGCTGGTTCCTACTCCTACCCCTGGTTTTACAGATGCAGAACAGGTTAGGGGGGAAAGCAGCTTGTGCAGAGGCCCGCAGCTCAGGAATGCCGCTCAGGGACCCACTCCTAAGCAGCCCACCCTCCTCCTGGCTGAGGTTTGGAAATGAAGGAGAAGAGTGCCGTTTATTCCCAGTTGATTTTGACTTTATTTTTGACTAGGTGATACATTAACATGGGTCGACATTCCAAAGGTATCAAAAAGTAAAGCGTGGAAAGCCTCTCTCGGCTTCTCCCCTTTTCCCCGGAAGCCAGCAAGGTTCTCAGACGTTTGCTGTCCTTTCACATATTTTTATGCATAAACACACGGTGGCCTGTGACATCCACTGTGTGCGCTCTGCTTTCTTATCATTTTTTGGAGTTCATTCCATAACAGCACATCCAGAGCTTCCTCATTCCTTTTTATGGCTGTGTGGCGTCCCTTTTTATGGATCTTCCATGCCTTATTTAATCAGCCTCCTGTTGAAGGACATAAAGGTTGTCTCTAATTTTCTGCTGTTATAAAGAATACCGCAGGAATGACCTTCGATATAGGTCATTCTATGCATGTGCAGGGATGTCACATCTGTAGGAGTGAATTCTTGAGTCGATGGGTTTGTACAAAAATAATTTTGTGGGGCTAGACCGGTGGCATAGAGGTTAAGTTCAGGCGCTTCACTTCAGCGGCCTGGGGTTTGTGGGTTCGGATCCCAGGTGCAGACCTAGCACCACTAGTCAAGCCACACTGTGATGGCATCCCACATAAAATAGAGGAAGATTGGCATGGATGTTAACTCAGCCCCAACTTTTGTCACACACACAAAAATAGTAATTTTGATATATGTTGGCAGGTTGCCCTTTATAAAGGTTCTTCCAACTTCTACTCTACCAGCAATGGATGATGCTTTGAACCAGGTACTTTTTGGACCATTTCCTCCAAATGTTAATTTTAAAAATCATAAGGTAGGCAGCAAAGGCAACCTCTAACAGGCTGTGGCCTCTTCAGAGGGAGACTCTCCTGTGACCGCTCCCTGGGCCTTGGGGGTGCTCTCCCAGAGGCATCTCCCTTATGCAGGGAGGGAGATTCTTCAGAGGCATGCAATTTGGTACCAGTGGCTTTGAGTTGTGAGCAAATGGTGATGGTCCTGAGAGTAAGGAGTGAGTGGCATCCTCGGGTAGGTCTGAGAAGGCCATCCTGGCAGCAGAAAGAGCTCTGTGCGGAGACGGGACCAGGCGCACATTTCTGGAGTCATTTTGGATTGGCAGGGAGCTCCCTGAGCCTCGGGCTTCCTTGTGGGGTGGGGAGAGGATCCGATTAGCTCAGCAGCTGTTTACTGGACGTCAGATTGAATGGTGGGCTGGTCCTCGTCCTGGTTGCAGGGGAGGAGCAGTGAGCAGTCACACACAGCAGCAGCCAGCTGAAGTTGTTGTGAAACCACATTCAACTTAAACCCTGCACCCTGAGCACCCACATCCCACCCCTGCCAGGTTGCCTCTGGGTAGGTAGCAGGAATATAGCGACAAGACTGGAGTGTTCAGTGCTGTGGGGGATGCAGCAAATTAAACCAAGCAGTCTAAGTTCACCTGCCAGGTGGTGAGGGCTGCAGATACGCTAACATATGTGAGAGAACTCTGGAGAGTGCCCGTACCAAACGTGGTCAAGGATTTTCCTTGTCACGCAGGTAAATCCGCTTCCCACCTTAGCTCTTCATGTTGGTTGCTAGGTTATCCCTGATTATGTTAAAATAAATACCTTAAAACCTAGAAAACCGGTTATGGTTAGACGGAAATTAGAAGCATGTGAAAATGCATGGTTAAGCCACCTCGTATGTTTTTCCCCTTCAGTCGTTTAAGGGGAATCCTCCTTGGTTTAAGAACTTATTACCCATTGTGGGGCCTGCGTGTAACTTTGTCCCTCATTTTAAATTCTGAAATTTGGGGAATTTGTCCCACGTCCTGGGAACTCTGCCTCCCCAACCACTAAACTACAGAAAATAAACCCAAAGGGGTCATTTGTACAGTGACCGGTTGTTTTTTTTAAGCTATTGAAGTTTATGGAAACCATGTCTTTCTGTCTTTTCTCGGATCTGGGCCATTCGCCTGCGGGGGTGGGGTGCTCTGGTGGGTCCAGGGGCGGGTACCAGTCTCCACATCTGCTGTGTTCAGGGGATCGCCGCCCTGTTTTTCAGATGACTTTGGGAAGTTGCTGCTGGCCGAGGCCCTCCTGGAGCAGTGTTTGAAGGAGAACCATGCCAAGATAAAAGACTCCATCCCTTTGCTGGAGAAGAATGAGCCGAAGATAAATGAAGCCAGAAACTATCTGAGTAGTATCCTTAACCAGGGGAGGCTGTTGGTAAGTTGTCAGCCCCCCGGGCTTGGGGCCTCCTCTCCTTTCTCCTGCCTCCTGTCTGCGGTCAAGCCTTCCCTGGGTCATTTGGTGACCTGAGCAGCAAGTCTCTTGTTAAGGGTTGGCCTTGTTCTGTTCAGTACAGTAGCCACTTGCCACGTGTGGCTCTTGAGCACTTGAAATGTGGCTAGTCCAAACTGAGATGTGCTGTAAGTGTGAAAACACACTGGATTTCAAAGACTTAGAAGAAAATGAAGAATGTAAAAAATCATTAATTCTTTACCTTGATTACATGTTCAAATGATAATATTTTGGATAAATTGGGTTAAACAGAATGTTAATTAAAATTAACTTCACCTATTTTTACCTTTTTTTTTTTTGCTGAGGAAGATTTGCCCTTAGCTAACATCTGTGCCGGTCTTCCTCTATTTTGTCTGTGGGTTTCCACCACAGCATGGCTGCCAACAAGCAGTGTAGGTCTGCCTCTGGGAACCAAACCTGGGCTGCTGAAGCAGAGCATGCCAAATTTAAGCACTAGGCCACGGGGCCGGCCCCTATTTTTATTACCTTTTTTAATGTGACTAGAAAATTCTACTAGAAAAACTTAGATTACACATGTGGCTGAAGTTATATTTCTGTTAGATAGTGCTTGGTTGATCTACTATGTGCCTGCTCCTTTGGGCTCTTTGACGGTCTCGGAAATAAAAGTTCAGGGAACCCGTGATCTAGTTGGAAACAGGCAAACATGCAGAGTTGGCTAGCGACAGAAGAGCTCAGTAACAGGGCAAGCCAGTTTAAGTCCATATGCATTTATTGAGCACCTACTGTATGCAAGGCACCAAGAGGAGGTATACAGGGAAGTATAATCACAGCTTTCTCTAGACCTTTACTATGCAAAGCATGGTCTACCTATCCACAGTATGCGAGCTGGTTAGGAATGCAAAATCTGAATCAGAATCTGCATTTTAACAAGCTTTCCTGGTGATTCATGTGCCCATTAAAGTTTGAGACTGTTCTAGATTACATTGTATCCTGAGCTATAATAGAGGTATGGGTATGTTATTAGAGACCCAAAGAGGATGTGATTTTCCAGGCGATGTTCCAAAGTAATGTAATATATTCACTGACTTAAACATTATATTGCAACCTACTATGCGCAAGGCATTGTGTTCTGTATTTTGAGGGCGATAAAGATGAGTTCAGTATGGACCGTGCCCTTGAAGAGCTTGCAGGTCTACTGGGAAAGTAATTCCCATTGGCAAATTGTTCAAGGTGGGCTGTGACACATGCAGCACGAGTGGTGTCCATGAGGCGGCAAGTCTGAGGGGCACACTCCCTGGAGTGAGGTGGGGGATCGACTCAGGGTGATGCAAGTATGAGAATTAGACCCTTGTGGGGGCTGGATCTTGAAGTGGGGAGGGATTTGGATATAGAGAGATAGGACAGGGCCTTCCAAACTAAGGAAGCAGAGTGTAGTCTGAGGGTTCCTCTTATAAGAATTTCATTACAGGGCCGGCCCCATGGCCAAGTGGTTAGGTTTGCACGCTCTGCTTTGGCGTCCCAGGGTTTCTCCGGATGGGATCCTGGGCAAGGACCTAGCACCACTCATCAGGCCATGATGAGGTGGTGTCCCACATAGCACAACTAGAAGGAGCTGCAAGTACAATATACAACTACGTACTGGGGGGGCTTCGGGGAGAAGAAGAAGAAAAAAAAGATTGGCAACAGGTGTTAACTCAGGTGCCGATCTTTGAAAAAGGAAAAAAAAATAGAATTTCATTACAGTAGGTCAGTGAGCTGGAGTGAAAGGGAATGGTGGGTAATTAGGTTATCAAAGTGCATTGGGGCCAGAGTTGGGGCTGGAACACCAGGCCAAGAAGTGTGGGCTTTTTCTGTAAGCAGAGGGGGGAGAGGACTGGAAGCCTAGGGTTACTGCCTTTACACTCCTTGGCAGGGATTGTTGTCGCTTTGGGAGGTTTTGTGTTGGATTAAATAGCTCCTTGACCCTGAGCATGTTCCCTGACCTCTCCGACCCTCCAGTTCCTCATCTGCCAGTCGAAAGAGTTAGACTTGATTGGTAGGTCCCAAGCTTTTCCTACCAAGACCTCTTTTAATTTTTTTCTTTCCAGTAGACCCCATTAAATATTTAAAAGTTGTTTTTAGAATAAAAATGGCTCAGGCTTATTATAAAAAATTCACTAAATAAGTAGTTTGAATAATTTTTGCCATGTTTGCCACCCCCACCCCCATCCCCAGAGTTGAGTGCTGGTCACCATTTGGTGTGTGTCCCACACTCCTTTCTCTCTGCCTTAACAAACACACGTAGACACATATACAGCTTTGTTTTCTTATTAACTCACAGGATACATATTTTACAAGTTGCTCTTTTGCACCGAGAACTTTCACTTGGAGCTTTCTCCATGCCAATACCTCATTCTTTGTATTGGCCAAATAGTATCCACATGTATTGTTGTGACAACTGTTTTGTCTACCAAATCACATTTATTACGTACAGATTTTACCGTGCTTTATTAATCAAACATGTACATAGGCACCAATAACGTTGAGAAATCCACTGTTATCTAGGCCAAAGCTAAAAACTTGATGTTGATCAGGCAAAATAAAATATTAAAAGTGGTTTGTGGGATTCTCTGTCTTACCCCAAAGGCCAGGGTGTGGTGGGCGGCGATCTCTCCGGGCAACAGATGCAATCTCAGGCAGATTCCCGTGTATCCTGAGTAGCTCTGATGGGATGAGGATGAGAGGCAGGAGAGGTGGGTCCTGAGGCATGTCCTCAGGGTGGTCTGAAACTTTCTTCTCTCAGTGGACTCTGGGATCCTGTCCAGCTCCCTTCTGTGGAGGTTGGTGAAAACAAATCGTCTGTCATAACTTATCCACTGAGCGCCAGGCCTTGTGCCATCTCTTTGGTGCTTCACGGTAACCTGCAATGGTATTTACCATTTCCCTCATTTTCCAGGTGAAGAAACTGAGACCCAGGAGAGGTTAGTCACTTAGCCAAGGACCACAGTAGCAGGTGCAGGACTTGAAGGCCTGTCTGCCTCCACATCCCAAGTTCTCATGCTCTTTGCCACTTCTTGATGCTATTTCCCAGCATACTGGAATAGAGATAAAATGATGACACAGAAACTGGATTAATCTTAGCAATGATGACATGCCTGCTTTTAGAGGTCCTATTTTGCATCTGTGAATTATTTCCTCATCTGTTCTCTCCTCTTTCCTGGGTATCCACATGAGGTCATTCTTTCCTTTCTATTGACAGAGACAATGAGGTACCAAGAGACTAGGTGACATGCTGGCTCCACACAATGGAGGGATGGTTCCCCACACTGAGTGACCTCCTGCACAGCATCCTTCCACAGGGCCAGGGCTCTGTGGTTCCCTGACTGTTGGATTGACTGGCCAAGAACATTTCAAATCCAAATGCAGGAGTCCTGCAGAGTGTAGCCAACTTTTAATTCTGCCACATAGGGCCATTAAAAAAGCAAATAAAAACAATAGCAAAACTGTACCATTGTCTAGTACCATCACTCCATAAAAGAAAATAGATCTTAATACCAAAAAGCAAGACAGATATGCTTTCAGAATTAAGGGCAACTTTAAAAAAATGGTATAAATTTGGCTTTATGAAACATGCACCACATTGTTCTCAATTCTTCCCCAGCTTGGTGGAAGCCCTGTTGTAGACTGTCATTGGTCTACCAGGAACCGCTCACTGTAATTTACAGCCTTTCATCGTCCGTCTGAACCTAGCTGCCCTCTTCCCCATTTACAGTAGGACAGGATAATAATAATGATTACTCATGCCCTGTATTTATCTAACTCCTTTCTAAAGAAAAGTTCAAAGCTCTTTTCTGGACTTTGCCCTATTAATGCTCTTGGCATCACTGTGATGGGAGGTGAGGGGTGGGTGTTGTTCTCTCTCCCTCACAAGGGGAAGACGAGGCCCAAGCAGGGAGGAAATGTGCCTGTGGCTTGAGACCGTGTTGGGGGAATGGCAGAGTCGTTGCCCAGCTTGGAGGGACCGTGGGCTGCATGCCTCGGCAGGTGTGATCTGTGGCCCTGGCCCAGCGAGTGGGTGGCCTCTTTGAGGAGACTGGCAAATGCCCTTGAAAACTTCAGCCTTTGAGAGGTCATCACTGGTTAGCAGGGCAGGTGTGCGGGGGCCGATTGGGTACACTTGGTAGAGGCGTTGTAGGAGTTCAGCAGAAGGGGGCTCCCTGTAGTCGGGGAGGCTTCCAGGAGGAGGTGGGCCCGAGCAGGGCCCCAAAGGATGAAGGAGGATCTGGGTGGGCTGAGAGGAAGGGAGACTGTTCCAGGGAGGGGACCTGTGTGAGCAAAGGCAGAGGAGGAATGTGTATCTACAAAAACTGAAAGGACCCGTGAGGAAGGAGAATTTGGCTTTGCTGGGCTGCATTTCCCTTAGTTGGCCTCTGAGAGGGCAGTAGATGGTGGGAGTGGTGGAGGCTTCCCTGGGGTCACAGGTACCCCAGACTTTGCTCTCCCCGCAGGGAGTCGGGGCAGCACCTTCCTGCCAGTGACAGAGGTCGGGGATGGGGGCCAGCACTATGTTTCCAGGGAGCTTTGTGGACAGAATTGCTGCTGTGCCGTGGGGGTGGTGCCCAGAGCCTGGCCTAAAGGGGTGGGGGCCGGCTGAGCACAGAAACGGAGGCAGTGGGTTGGAGCCAGTGGCCTCAGAAGGTGGGAGATCTTGGAGCCAGGCTGGGCCCAAGTCCAAGGCCAGGGCTCTCGGGCAGGGCTGGCCAGACCCCCTCAGGTCCTGAAGGAGGCCGTGAGAGTCCTTGTATGGGGTGGAGATTGGGTGTCAGCAGCACTTGAGAAAGTAGGGGAGTGAAAACAGGTCTGAATTTAGGCCGTTTTGGCATCCTGGATCCTGCACTTTCACGTGCTTCTGATAAGACGAGGACCGTGGCCCGGCTGGCCTTCGCTCTCCTGTCTCTGTCCCATGCTGCTGCTGTGGCCATTCTCCCTTCAAGGGTCCTGCTGCTGTGGGTGGGGGGCTTCAGCTCCAGGCCCCTCATCTGCATGGGCTCTTTCTGAGGCCTTTCACCTAATTGTATATTTGTACATATATGTGTATGAAGAGGCCCCCCCACCCCCCAAATATAAAGCTTTAGGCCTCACCAAACTTGCCTGGGTCCCTGACTCCCCACTTGTCTTGAGAATAAGTGCCTGGACTCCTGAGCACCAGCCTTGAGTCCAGCCTCTGGGGGCTTCAGGAGAGGGAAGACGGCCCAGTCTGCAAGCTGCCTGCAGTCTGGTCGGGGAGGGGGTGGGTGATCATAAGATAGACACATGTGAAGCAATTAGGGCCTCATGGAAGAATTTCAGTGAGAGCCACAATGTAGGCCGTGGACTGCAGGTGTGGAGAGGAGGGAGTGGTTGGCATGTGCTTGAGGGTCATGGAAAGCTTCCTGGAGGAGGAAGGGAATTCTGAGCAGAGTCTTTGGCAAATCATCATGGTTCATTGGGGGATAATTCATTCCACAGTACAAGGTGGAGATGGGGGCAGGAGCCTGCTAATGTGCTTCTTGTCTTTTCAGCCACAGTACATGTGTGAGGCCATGCTGATCCTGGGCAAGCTGCATTACGTGGAGGGCTCGTACCGAGATGCCATCAGCATGTATGCGCGGGCTGGGATTGATGACATGTGCATGGAGAACAAGCCCCTGTATCAGATGCGGCTGCTGGCAGAGGCCTTTGTCATCAAAGGTAAGTGTGGGCGCCGGACGGGGCTCCCCATCAGCAGGCCTGGCTCGTTACTCTCTGGCCCCCATGTAGCAGGAGCAGGTGGCAGCTGTAGGGCAGTGGATGCTCTGTTGATGATGGGCCTGCAGGGCTGATGTCCCAGATACTTATCCCCTGGTACTGCCCAGGCACTGACCAGCTGAGGGGACTCCAGTGGTAACCAGCCATGCCAGTGCATACTGACGGATGGCAGGCACCAGGCTGGGATGTCAGAAGACTCAGGTTCTCACCCCGGCGCTGTCAACAGCTAGTTACCCAACTGAGTGCCTTTGGGTGAATTACATCTTCACCTTTCTTAGCCTCAGCTGACTTATCTGTGAGATAGGGTTGTAATACCTGCCTTCACGGGGTTACCATGACCAAGAGGAATCAGTTGTGTAACCAGGTTGAGAAAGGCGTAAAAAATGTGCCAGCTCCTTGTCAGGCTGGTGCTGGTGACTGACGCTGGCTACAAATCGGGTGTTCTATGCTATAGAGCAGTCTGTCACTCCTCAGGTATTTGTGGGCACCTGTGGTGCTGGGATCCAGTGATGAGCAGGTCCGAACCAGTTCCCAGGGTGAAGGATGCTCTGGTGGGGACCCGGGCACACAGGGTCAGTGATGTAGAAGTTTCACGATACGGACTGTGGGTGGCCCACCTGGGGAAACAGTGCTGTTGAACCGCCCCTGATGGTGTTACATGTTAGTAAGAGACCTGCCCCAAACTTTGCACTTCAGGCTCCTTCCCTGGATCCCTGAACCCTGGGATCATGTAGCCTGAGGGGTGACCCTTGGTGGCAGTGACGTCTCAGAGCGCCTCAGACCAGACCGTTGCCAGGAACCTTGGATGTTTTGATCATCTCCTTATTCCAGCACAAACCAACCCGGAGAGAAAAGTCTAGAAATGCAAGTGGCCCTGTGGGGATTTGGTCTGGCGTTGGTAGAATATTTGTCACCTTCTTTTCCATTATAGATAGGGACATTCTCCCCATCTTATATATGGGGAAACTGAGGCCCAGAGAGGATATGTACCTTCCCCAAAGTTACCCAGAGATTTATGGTGGAGCCAGGATTGGAACCTCTACTCTCTGACATGGGCTTTGGATTATGAGCCTCCCACCCCCATTCCTCTGTCTCCTTTAGGTCCTGGGGGACTGACTATGACATCTGTGCAGGGCACAGCCTCCTTTGACCCTGGCTGGTGGGACCCAGGGCTGTTTGTCCACCTCTAGGTCCCTGAGCCCCTTTCCTTGTTGAGAGACTGTTCACACCATCCCAGGAAACCTGCTGAGATTGCCACCCTGGACAGACTCGGCGCCAGACTATGGGAGGGCAGGTGCCCACCCGGGATGGTCCAGTGTGTGGGGTCTTGTCCCTTTGCTCTCCCTTTCCCTTCTCTGGCACAGGCCTGTCTTCAGGGTGATCTTCATTTGGCCTTTGGGTTTCTTGGGCCTCTTGGAAACCATTTCTGCCACAGACTCCGTGAACCTAACACCCTTCCGTAGGGGTCCTTTCCAGCACTTTTTCCTGTAGACCTGGCTCAGTACCCACTGCTCCCTGTCTCCTGCTCTTTACTCTTTCCAGCCTGCCTCCAGCTTCTTGGGGGAGCACAGTGCCGGTGGTCAGAGGTCCTGCAGGGGAGGTAAGGAGCCAGGCGCCACTGGCGTGGGCTGCTTGGTCATGGGCTGCGCTAGCTCCCTGTCCCACACTGACTGCACGTGGCCTCCCACTCCCTTCTCCTCTCTGCCTGTTCTCTGTGTCCTGTTGCAGTGACCACGCCCTGCTGCTTGGCATGCCGAGGTTCACCCGACCCTGCGTGTGCTTGAGACTTGCACGTGGCCTCCAGGATGTGCATGAGGTTGACCTTCCTGGGTTTGGGGGAATCCAGTGGGTCTCCCCATGAAGAGAGTAGGGGATGGGGATGGCTGGTCATTGGTCCTGACTCCATTTATGAGCAAGGGGGTTGATTTCATCGGCTTGGGCTGCCGTAACAAAACACCAGAGACTGGCTGGCTTCAACAACAGGAATTTGTTTCTCAGTTCTGGAGGCTGGGAGTCGAAGATCAAGGGACCAGCAGGGTTGGGGTCTGGTGAGGGCTCTCTCCTTGGGTTGCAGATGGCTGCTTCTCACTGTGTCCTTGCATGGCCTTTCCTCCATGTGTGCGCGTGGAGAGATCCCTCTCTCTTTCCCTTCTTACGAAGCCACTAATCTCATCATGAGGTCCCTACTTCATGACCTCACCTAACCCTAATCACCTCCTAAAGGCACCATCTCCAGATACCATCACATTGGGGGTTTGGGCTGCAACATGTGAATTTGGGGGGACACAAACGTTCAGTCCATAGAAAGGATGGTGGCAGCAGGAGGCCACAGAGTTCACAGAATAATACTTATTAAGCCCTCACTCCGTGCCAGTGTACCCCTGCTGAATGCATACATCAAGCCCCTGAGTAAGTATTCTCTTCATTCCCGTGTTATAGATAAGGAGTGAGGCTTGAAGAGCTGACGGGACTCATGCGCATTTCACTGCGAGTGGGGCAGCCTTGAACCCAGGCAGCCAGAGCTTGTAAACACCCTGTGATGGTGCTGCTCAGGATTCTAGTCTGAAAGGAATCATAGCGATGATCTAGGCCAATCCCTCACGGTACACATGAGGAAACTGAGGCTGACAAAAGTCAAGCGTCTTACCTGAGATGACGGTTAGCTTGCCTTTGAACTGGAATGCTCCAGCCCTGGCTGCCTCTCAGGTTCACGGTGTCACACTCCATGTGGCCTCCCCCTGGAGCCTTCCCGGCCTCCTCACGAGGACTCCGCCTGGCCAGGCCAGTACACCACAGCTTATTTACCATTTTTCATTGGATTCTGCTCCATGGTTCCATTTGGTACCATCCAGTGGGGCCGGGAGTTTGGTTCTCAAGCATGCCTGGCCGGAGGGAAGAGGACGGAGCCCTGCGTCGTGGGGGAGCCTGAGCTAGGCAGGCCTGGAGGCTCAGTTGGGGCGTGTGTGTGGGTGTCTCCATTATGGAGCACCTGTTCTTGTTGGAGGAGTGGGAGCAGGCTCTGCGTCTCTTCACCCCCGCTCCCAAAAGACAGAAAAACACACTCGACTCACCCGCTTTCCCCTGCAGAGCAGAGGGACTTGGCGTTGTGTCCCTTTGAGGCAGCACTCACAAGGACTCGGCCTTCCTCTGAAGTCGGGAGGATGTAGGTTAGACCAGAAGATGCTTTCTGATTCCTGGAGGGACGATGCCTTTGGCATGGTCATTCTGTCCCTGAGGGTAGTCAGAGGGGCCCCTAACTGGGCAGTAGGGAGATGGGGACTTCAGCCTCTCCAACCTCCTTCAGCCCTGGGTAGAGTAGGAGCCGTGGCCGCTGGTGAAGTCCCGCACCACCATCCCATGGGCCTGCTTGGTGTGGAAGCAGCCCAGAGCCAGTGATGTTGGTGCGCGAGTTGTTCAGAAAATTGCTTTCATATGTCAACATCAGTCGTTTTGGTCCAGAATGGGGAGTCTGCCCCTCTCCTGCCCCATTCCCCTGGTGCTGCAGTGGGCCCATTGTGACTTCTGCCAGCCCACTGCCCCCTGACCAAGTGTGTCAGACCAGGGGAAGGCCCTGGAAAGGAAATGTTCCCCGCCCATTTCCGGGGCAGATGATAAATATCTGTTTTTGATGGCACAGCCCCACCACTGTCTTGGTTTGTTTGGGGGGAACATCTTCCATGGACTTTGTATTAAAAAACAACCTAGAGGGGCTGGCCCTGTGGTGTAGTGGTTAAGTCCAGCATGCTCCGCTTTGGCAGCCCAGGGTTTGCAGGTTCAGATCTCAGACATGGACCTACACCACTTGTCAAGCCGTGGTGTGGCAGTGACCCACATACAAAATAGAGGAAGATTGGCACAGATGTTACCTTGGGGTGGATCTTCCTCAAGCAAAAAAACAGAGGATTAGCAACAGACGTTAGCTGAGAGAAAATCTTCCTCACCAAAAATAAAAGGAAAACAACAACCTAGAGTCATTTGGTTTCAAGGTCCTCCTCAGAAGGCCCGTCCACAGTGCCACCTGCTCTCAGGAAGTCCCTGGCACAGCCTGCTTGTCTGATCTGCTTGCTCCCGGCTGTCAGCCCTCTCTCCCCTCTGAACTTGAAGCCCCTGGAGGACAGGTGGTCATTTCTTCTGCACCCCTAATCTTCTCTCCCTCTTCTCCCTTCCCAGAGCCTTGTGTTCCAGCCGAATGAGGTCTGCTCCTAGACTCCAACGTGATCTACAAAGTTCTGTCTCCACCTTTTCTCGAGCCACTGTCCTTGCCTAACATGCCCTTTTTTCCTTACTCTGCACGCAGGTTGCCCTAACACTCCCATCACGCTCAGGTCGGGTGCCTCGTCCACCAGGAGGTTCCCTCGGTTGCAGCTACAGCCTGTAGCATTCACTTCCTCCTCAAGCTCATTTGCACCTTGGCCTGGTCTCCCCAGTTAGAGGTCAGTGTGTTTCTCCTGCCAGGGGTCTGGTCTCTCGTAGTTGTACCCCTCAAGGTCCCTGGCCCAGCTTCTACAGGAGAAAGTAAAATTTCCCAGCAGTTGATTCAGTGTGTGCCTGCTGGGGGTGCCACAGTGAACAGTTAGGGTCCCTTCCTTGAGGCAGGGGCAGGCAGGTGAGCGGCTCGAGGAGAAGCAGCGGCTCTGGAGGAGGAGCTAAGCTTGCAGTTTGCTCTGGCAGAACTGATGAGTCATAAGCTCCCTGGTGCCACTCCTTCCTGCCTAGTCCCTGATTGACAGGCCATGGTGTTGGTGAAGTCTTCCATTTGGAAAAAGCAGGAAATGGAAACACCCCAGGTGCCTGGTCTGTAGCTTATTACTGCAGCCCACTGGGGCAGGACAGCAGACTTCCTGCCTGGCCATGGTGCCCCAGCCACATGGCTGCCCCTAATTCTGTTCAGTGGGGAGCTCCGCCTTGACCTCTTGGCAGGACCATTCACGAAGTCCCCCCTGGGGCTGCAGCTCCCCAGCAGCCCACTTCCAAATGGGGTGTCATGCCTGGGATGGTCTTATGAGCTGAGCAGTCAGAGGGCTTCTTGGCCAGGTTTGGGGTCCGTCTGGCCCTACAGTTCCCCAGAGCTCCCTAGTCATAAGCCTCTGGGTGTTTGGTATCAGCTCTTCTCCACGGATGAGAAACTAGAGCCAAAGATTGTGTGACTCAGAGCCCTTGGCTCTAGATCCAGGCCTAGAAGTTTCTGTCCCTGAGGCCTCCTCTCAGCTCCCCAGCCCTCAGTTTAGTGGGTAAGCAATGGGCTGGGCTGGGAGTGCACATGCCCCTTGCCCCCAAGCTGCGTCTGGCTCTCTAGCAGCATATGAGAGCCACAGCACAGGGTCCTTGTAAGATCCTAGGCAAGTCAGGCCTTTCCCAGGCCCCAGCCTTAGCTCCTAACGGGGTCCGGTCTTCCTGCCTTCTCTGCCACTACCTTCAGCAGGTGCAGAGGATTTCCAACCCCGATTATCTGCATTGACCCTCAGCCACCTTGGGTTGTTGTCCACAGGCAGAAAGGGCCCCTTAGTAAAATCGTGTTGCCCAGAGGGACTGCCAGAGTGAAGCTGGCCCCTTTTTGTAGGCCTCACTATAGGCCCTAAAAAGTGTCTAACACAGGCTGATATCCTGAAGTGTTCTGCCAGATGCCCTAAAGCTCCAGCCTCCATGGCCCAAGGTCTTGCCTCAAGACAAAAGAGGCTGCATTTCAGCCGGGGATGCTGCTGTGTATCTGGAATTACACTTTCTTAGCTGGGAGATTCCAAATCCTCACTGCCATACCTGACCTCAGCTCAGCCAGTCCTGCACTTCAGGAGCTGTCCCCTCTGACATCATGCTTCTGCGGATGTTTCCATATAACTAGACTTATGGTTGTAATGACAAAAATGCAACTCCAACTAGCTGGAAAAGCAACAACAAAAAGGGGGATGGGACTGGAAATTTATGGGCCCATGTAATTAGAAAGTCATCAGGGTGGGTGGCATCAGGTATAGCTGGATCCAGAGGCTGCGTGTGTTGAGGTCTTTCTCAGCAGCTCCAGGTTTACATGGTCCTGCAGCATAGCACTCACAACCTCAGAAGGAGAGAGGGCCTCGGGGAGGGTTCTCATTGACCTGGCTTGATCTTATGCCCACCCTGGAACCAGTTACGGTGACCAGCATCTAGGTGGCTGGGTTGGTGCCAGGGTTGGGATTTCCCCAGTTGAATCTTGTGGACTGAGTTGGAGGAATAGTTCCTCAAAGTAAAATCAGGGTGCTGTTACCAAAGTAGGTGAAAGGTACAGAGGGCAGAACTCTGGAGCTCAGGCAGAACTGACTCACCTCAGGTTACACCAGTAGTGACCCAGATGGGATTTGAACTCGGCTCTCTCTGGTTTTGGCTTTTGGGCTCATCCCTGATGCCCAAGGAGTACTTGTTTGATTGACCTGCTCTGTTCCCAAGAGGGAAGTGAGTGTGGGGCCTTCCCAGGTGAACTGGGAGGTGAGCCGGAACTTGAGAAGGAATGGTCCGCAGATGGGTGGAAGACGTGCCTTCCAGGGAAAGGAAAGTTCAAAGGGAAGCCCTGGGGAAATGGAGCTGGCTTGTTTGGAGGTGGGGTGTAATCACACCTTTCTGGAGCTAAGA